GACATAAGAGAGCTTACCTTCATGTCTATATGGACCTCATGTTTCATGGCATCCTGAGCCAACTACTATATTCATCCATGCTATTATTAATTGGACCCTGCTACGTACACTGCAGGGACTTGTTGGCTTTTTATGTCGTATTTTCCTAGCTGCTCAGAATTTCCAGCTCTGAACGTGAAACTCAGCTTCATGATGCTTTGTCGGAGCTTGAAAATCATCCACCCCATTGTCTACCGAGAAAACGTACGAGTTAACTCGCTTCTCCATTGTTCAAAAACCTTCTTTTATATTTTGATTTAAGACATTATTAGCATGCATGTCCATTTCAATAGTGTGCTCCGCCTTCCTTGAAGCGTAACTCACTTAGGGTTCATCCAGTGATTAAAAACTTTCTTAAATGGTGTGCCTAACATGTTATTTGAGAACAGCTCCGTTAGACCACGTCCATGGAGTTCTTTGAGGCATTTTGGGGGGCTAAACCTGGCTTCCGCTTTCACAATTCTAGGAGATGACCTTTCTTGTTGGGCCCATAAAATGTGCTCCTCTAATGGGTTCGGCGTTTGGAGTTCAGTCTACGGTGCTAAGAAGGGACCCAACATTAGGGTTTTGGTTTTAAGTATTCAGATCTATCTAAACGATGAAAAAGAAAATCAGATCTTAAACCTATCAAAATTAACAATCATATTTTCAGCTAGGTTAAAATGTTTTTTTATTTTCTTCTTTTATAAGTACAATTATTTATTTCTGAGCACCATAAAATTTCTCTAGTTAATTCTTATCTAATCATTTTGTAACTAAAAAAAATACCTTTATTTACTATATGATTTACATTTTTCCTCCATCCAGAAGATTATTAGTTGGACCAATTATTATATAGAATTTTGATTGGCCTATGAGAATTGATATATATGTATATAATCTCCAGAACAATCAATTTAATTTCTAAGACATATGAAAAAGGGCCTATATATCAAATAGGCCCTTTTAGTTTCAATTCTGGGCCTTTCTAATATAAAGGCCTGATTCAATTATATTAATAATTAATAAGCAATTTACAAATATAACATTTTCATTATACAACCAAATAGGAATATTCAACACCTTAAAGATTAACTTTATAATATATTAAAATACTAATTATATATAAATTTCACCCCGTATCTAATTATAAATTTTAAGGTTTTTACCTACTACCTTATTAAATAGTTAACTTGAATTGTTTTTAATCTTTTTTTAATATATATATTTTTTATTAATTTTATTATTTAATTTTTTGAGAAGTTATTATAGTTTTATAATCTAGTTCACGGATTTGACTAATTCACTCTGATTACCCAAGTCAATCAACATATTGTTATCTTAATATTAGAAAAAGATATCTTCTTGAATTATGTTTTTTAGTCAAATTATATTTTTATAAGTTATATCAATTGCTTATAAACTTGTAAATTCAACTGGATTGCATTGGATTAACACTCTTTCTTTATGCTAGAAAGAAAAAACATTAACAATATTTGAATATTTTTTATATTCAAGAAAAATTTAACCTGACTATAATATAACGCGGATCAATAATTTAGTAATTAATTATTTAAGTCCTACCATGTTGTGGGTTGGGTATGTTTTTCTTTCCAATAATTGTTTTTTTGAAAATACATCATTCACCAACATGTTTTGTTGCATCCTTCTCCAACTTGTGTTTCTTAAAAGAAAATTCTTATATGTATATCGAAAAGTTTATGCACACATCTAATTAAATAAATTAAGAACTATCTATGTAAATAAATGAAAAAAAAAGTTATTAATGATAACAAAAACAGAAACATCAAGAGACAAATACAGATCATAATATTTTATCTCGTAATATAAATCATTTACTGAATTGTGTTTACTGAATTTATTTATTAAAATATTTTTTATTAAATCAAACAACAATAGAAACAAATTCATATATAAAATTGAATGAATAAAAGAAAAGGAAAAAATAAAAGTAAAAAAAAAATCTAATGAAGAATGATGAATCTTTTAATTTTTAATTTAAAAATAAATAAATAAATAAATAAATGTTATCCCATGTTAACCCTTAAAAACCGTTAACCAGGTCATTAGACTAAATAAATCATAGTGGAAAAAACCGCAATACTCAATACCTAACAAATCAAAGCTTAAAGATTAAATAAAAAAAATACACAAAAGATGTCACATAAAAAATAGTAATTAAAAGAATGAGAGTGAAAATCAAAAAAACAAAAAATAAATTAGAGACAAGTTACATATTTAAAATTATAAGGTTAAATTGAAGAGAAAATTAACTTTCACAAAAGAGAAAAAAATTAAAGAAATGAGGACCAAATTGAAAAAAATAACACACTATAAACTTGAATTGAATGATGAAATTGAAAATCAATAAAATTTTTACAAATAGCTAAAAAAATTAGAAATTAAAAGAATAAAAAATAAATTTAAAAAAAAATACATGACAAATTAGAATTAAAATACTAAATTGAAAACAAATAAAATTTTATAAAAAAATCAAGAAAAAAAATTAAAAGAATAAAGGTTGGAGTTTAAATATTAATAATAAATAGGATCAACTAGTAATTTTAAAGAAAAAGAAAACAAAAGAAAAAAAAGACTCGATAATGATAAACTAATCAACCATTATGCATACACACTCTATCAGAAGAAAAAAAAATATAACAATACTTAAACATAATACATAATGAGAAGATAACTTTAATCATCGAGAGATATTATATTTGCCATCCAAAAAGTACAAGTAGTAATTATATATTAATAATCTTTTTTAATTTAAAATTAATTAATCATCCTAAAAAATTAAGTTGCTTTCATTGGTTTTGGATTATGAAAACATTAAAATGTCTTTGAATTAGTGGTTAATTGTTTCTTGATTTTCCAAGTTAATGATACCTTTTTACTGTATTAAAAAAACTATAAAGACTTAAATACTATTGCACAATTTTTTACGCAGAAACTAAAAACATTATTTTATAATTTTAAAAATAATAAAAAGTTATATATACCCTTAATCAGCCATGCAAAAAGATTACACTATCCCTAATCATAGTTTTTAAACTTGGACCGAGACCCCATTGACCCAGCGGCTTGATCGGTCCGGGTTTACTAAAAAACCGTATAGGGCAACAACTCGGCAAAACCGGTCGACCCGCTTGGTCGACCCATGACCCGGGCGACCCGGGTAAACCCGAACGAGACCCAGTGTTTTGGAGTTGGATCCGTGATTTGAGTTTAGAGATCTTGAGGGGAGGCGTTGGTGATCTATGAAAAACTTCGAATCCTTGTCGTGTTCTTGCTTTATTACTTTGGATTTTCTTGAAAAAAGTGGCAACTCCACTCACTGCTCATCAATAGGCGTAGGAAAGTAAGAACAGTGGTGTTATTGTTCCCATTTGTTCCTTCTAGCTGATGACTGTAACTTAAATGGGATCATACTCACAGTTTCAAGAGAGAGTGAAAGACAACAGAGACCAAACTCACAATTTCAAGAGAGAGAGAGGCAATAGGTAGTACCAGTACCATCAAGTCTTTAACATCTCTCTCTTTCTACCTCATGTTTTAAAGCATGTAGAAACCAGATCGTGTTCATGGGGGCATCAATAAGCAAGAAATGTGCTTCTGGGCTTTCAACAGATCGTGTTCATCCCTGCACAAAACAAATGTTTCAAAAAAGAGGGATAGTTGGTTGCTTGTGATGAAGCCAGAGAAGGAAGATAAACTTTGCAAGGAGATGGCGATAAAATTGAGTGCTCTTTTTCTGTACAAAACAATCGACAACGTCATATTTATCCTTCTCTCACGCCCCGCCGGTCCCACTCCACCCCTTGATTATTGCCTCCCTTTTCCATTTCTTATTTTTAACTGTACAGAGTTGCTCGGGGTTGATCCGGGTTGACCCATGAAACCCAGAACCCAGTCTTTTGACCGGGTCACTCCTCGGGTCGGGTTTAAAAACTATGCCCCCAATTCAAAAGCCTTAGTTTTTTTTTTTTTATTTGAAGAGCTAAAAAGTAATTATAATGCAGCTATGAATATTAAAACATATCTAGGTGTAAAGTATTTATCCTATATTTTTTAGAGTTTTGGTTAATTATCACAAGGTTTTAAGATATCATTTAATGATCATGTTAGAAGATGATCAACATCAAAATATCAAGATTATATATTAAATGTGTATTTTATATTATGACAGTTGTTGTAGTTATAATTAAAATAAATTAAAAAAATATTTTTAATTGTGGTTTTAAAAAAATTAATTTAAAAAATATGTTTAATTATAACTGAGATATGTTTTTAGATGTAAAATAAATGAAAAATAGGTTACTATAAATGTAAAGAAAATTATTTTAGCTTCTACAAGACTAAATTTTAAAACATAATTATTTGCTAGGTCTAGTGTAAAAAGTAAAGTTATTTAGGTAACTAAATGATGTTTTTCTCAATAGTTAGAGAAAAACCAAAATCAATTAAATGCTCTCTAAATATAAGCAACAGTTCTAATCAACCTACAGCATAGTTATTAGACTAAAAAATATGGGTTGGGTCTAGATCGTTAGGGCTATTCTCAAATCATGAAATTAACATAAATTAATTGTTTTTATTAAAATTACATTGTTTTATTCTTTTTAAAAAAGAATTTAATACTCACTCGATGAAGTTTAGATCAAATTTAACTTAATCAACTGAGATTGGTTGAGGTAATGTCTTTTCATCATTCAAGCTGAATCCTTAATCATATTAAATTTTATATCATAAATTTTCCGAGCTAACATATCAAGTGGCAATGTTTAATATCTATGAATGAAATACTAGATGGCGACAAACATCCTCAAATCGTGGACGTTCAAAAGGAAATGGCGTGTGACTTTCAAATGTAAGAAATACTTGGGGCTTAATTGATAAAATATATAGGTTTGGAATGCAAATTGAAAATAAATATATAGTTACAGTACTAAATGGAGGTTTTCCAAAGTAATTCCTTACAAAAATGGCGTGAAGTTATGAATTCTGTGATGTCAAAAAAAAAAAAAAAAAAATTCATGAAGAACCCTAAAAGGCTCTCATTGTCTTCTTCCAAGTAAGTCCCTTTTTCTTTCCTTAAATACTACAACCATGGCTGTCTATTTTCTAAAAATAAAATAAAAATTACCAGACAAATCAAGATTTCGAAGATCTTACTGTCAGACAAAGACCCATACGTTCTTTTATTGATTTTACAGTTAATTGCGACTTCTCTTAGTCTCAAGACACAAACTTTACTATGATTTCACAATCTGCTTATTAATTTTTTACTTTTTGTGATTTGGGTTTGAATTAATTTCTGTGTGCTTGTAATCGTTTTGGAGATTCTTAGGTGAACACAATTTGGAGATTTTTTCGGTGGATACAATTCTGACAACAAATTATGTGAAGGTTAAATAAAGTTATCTTGAATGGTAAAGTTTGAAATAATGGATGAAGATAACAGTTTGAATATTCGTAATTGGGGTTACTATGAACCAACATCTGTTAAAGGAAATCTGGGGCTTCAGCTCTTGTCCCCAACAATGCCTGAGAAACCCTTCATGGGTGCACGCAGTAATGCGATCATGACAAATGTGAGCGGAGGTTTTCACCATAGGGATATTGGGGTTTCGCAGCCCATGTTCCCTATGGAGTGCATGAGGGATGTTTGGATAGGTCATAGAGAGAAGCTTCTCAATATTTTGCCTGGAAACCATAATTACGAGGCACTTTTGCCTGAAACTGCTTCAACTCATCATGTGCAAGTGTTTCAACCACCTGATTCGGAAAATGATGAAATGCTGGACCAAGTTGAAGAGTCTGGTTTTGTAGAAAAGGAAAATGGTCCCAATAAAAAGAGGCAGCGTGCTAATGCCCCAAAATCCCCCAAAGCAAAGAAGGGTACAAGGGCTCCCAGAGTACCCAAGCCTGAGGGTAGTCCTTCTGTTCAGCGAGTAAGGTCTGCCAAGAAAACCACTGAAATTCTGATAAATGGGATCAATATGGACATGTCAGTTATTCCTATACCGGTTTGCTCATGTACTGGCAACCCCCAACAATGCTATCGTTGGGGTTGTGGTGGGTGGCAATCAGCTTGTTGTACGACATGCATATCCATGTATCCATTGCCTATGAGTACAAAAAGGCGTGGTGCAAGGATAGCAGGTAGAAAAATGAGTTCAGGAGCTTTTAAGAAGGTCTTAGAGAAACTTGCTGATGAAGGCTATGACTTCTCTAATCCGATTGATCTGAGAACTCATTGGGCTAAACATGGTACGAACAAGTTTGTCACTATCAGGTAGATGTACTATGTGGATCTTTCTATTGCCCTACGATTGCAATGCACCATGTTTGTATTTGTATATTTTTTTATGCATCTGGTCTTCGAGGAGGCTTCAAATCTAGTTTGTAGTTTATATTCTGTCACATTCGATGATTTTAGAAAATTGTCCTTTTTGGCACCATGACTGTTGTTTTATCCTCTCTCTGTTCATAGTCATAGCTGTTTCATACTTATTGATGCCAGGGAAAATGATGTAGTAGATGAGTTTTTTTAATAGATTGATGCCTCGTAGTTTCTTTTTCTCCTGACCTTCTAAACTTACGTGATTGGTTTTTCTTTCTTCCACTTCTATGGTTAATTGTTAAGAGATTTCCTTTTTTCGTATATTATTAATCGATGCATATTCAATTTCATCTGATTTAGCAAATATTTGAAATATCTATTTTTAGTGAATCTGGCTGCCTTCTTTATGTCAGCTTGTGTAAATGAATGAGCGTTCATGTCTCACATATGACCAAGTCTCTGAGTTGTGAGGTAGTTGCTTGAGGCTTGCCACATTGTTAGTGAGAAATTTGTTAGTGCTAGTAAGTCTTGGTTTCATCAAACAATCAGCTGGTCTTCTTGCTGGTGTTTTGAAAAATAAATTATTATGTGGATGAGTTTTGCAAGTTAGATGTCTCTGTAAGAGGTAATTAATGATTTTTAGTGTCTTATCATTTAACTTAGAATATATGAGGCATCTTTCAGGTCTCTTCCATGAATTCATATCACCTGTCAGTCATGCTTTTGTTCTAATCATGTGTCAGTGGTTTTCTATCTTGCAGAGGTCTCTCCTCTGTTAGTTCTCACTCTTAGGTTCGATGGTCTGATAAGAAAGGAATTTTATTTTATTTTATTTTTTGGTCCTGTGTGATAGGCCTGTGTATGCTGTGTCCCTTGCTCCATTCAATGATGGAGGACAGCTAGGATGATTCCAGTCCCTGGAAGATGGCTAAAGAATTGAAAATTTTTGGCGGGGTTGGAGTTTGTAAGGGGGTTTAATTTGGAGTGAAATAAACCTAGAAAATTAAGTATTTGAATCTGTTTGAAAATCTATTAGAGCACTCTGAGCAGCATCTTATGGTTTTTGAGGTTATTTGACTTTAGTTTTATGGTGGGATGGATTAGGGCTGTTCTGGATCTGAGTTTAAGTGGCATGAACAGTGTTTAGGAGATTTTAGTCTGAGTCTTTGATCTGGTATGCATGAGAGGCTGTGTAGTAATTATTGATAAGTGCTTTAAGGTTAGATTAGTGGGGTCTGTATGCGGGAATTTGTATAAATTACCAGAGTCGCAATACTAGGGTTTCTAGGAGTCACACCTAGAGGATAGAAAAACCTAAGCTTTCATACCTAAGGTTTTTAGGAATTAGAGGATGGAAAAACCTAAACTTCATCTTAAACTTCCAACATATCTATTCCTATTTAGAATAGGAAACCTAATAACTTAACAACTTATAATTTAAAATACTAAATAGAAATAAAGCCTAAACCTAAACATTTTTTAAGTTTTTTCTATAAACATTGAAATTAAATTCCCGTGCATTTAGAAGCAACCAAACACATAATCTTATCCTTTTGTCACCTACATCAGTTCCACTCATTCAAGATTTGGTGCCTGAAAAGAAATCTAGTTGAATTTTGAATATAATCCTAGACTTCTCTAGCATTTAAACTTACACTTTTATGATCCTCTCATGCTCGCTGTCACCTCCTTTGTTGTGAATTATACACTGTGAATTGTACTTCTGTTAAGCATTCCTGTGAGGCGACTCTTAAGTAATCTCTTACTGCTCATGTACTTATATGTGAAGATGGTATGGCCATTTATATTGTAGAGGCCTACAAACAAACCTACTAGTTTGAGTTTATGGGTTGCCTGTTGCATGCTCTACAATTTTCACTTGAGCAATTGGAAGCGTTGAAAATTTAGAATTAGATGATGTTGACATGAAAAAATGAACATGAAATCTGTTCTCTGAGAAAGGAATGATGGTGTTTTAATTTCCCCATCTTAACTTTTGAAACTGTTGTGTGTCAGAATTGATTCACACATTCTGTTCGGTGTGTGTGGTGTAAGTTAAGGTTATGCATAGCATTTGGTGAAAATGATCGGCACGGTTATCAGCTCTTGTCTGGAATGATGGATTTGGATGTCAGAGTGACTTATCACTTGATACCAAGGTGGTATACACAAAGGGGACCTCCCAGAAGGAGAAGTAGGCTATTCACTTGCATTAGGAGTTGTGTGAAGTTAAAACGTGAAGGTTTAGGTGCTTTCCCAATACAATCACAAGGTTTCCCTTGCCCATTTATATTGACAAGTAAATCATGTAGTGGCTCAATGCCTTGCAGTTGGCAGTAAATATTGTATCATATTAGGTTTCCTCTGTTTGAAAATTCAAGGTTTGATTTTGTAAAAGTTTCAAGACTTGGAGCTCAACTCTAGATATCTTGAATGTTTACAAATTGTATTTTCCTTGCATGATTTTGAATGCCAATGGGTAGAGTTTGGTTGGGATTTTGGTGAAATAGTGAAGGTGGCAGGGGTTTGGAAGGGGCTGGTAGTGTTGTTATTGCTGGAATATTTGAAATGCCATGTAATCTGATGCCGTGTTGTTAGGGATTAGAAAGGTGCTAGCACTAAGGCAATGACAAGGTTAAATAGGCACAAAGGTGGCATTTCATTTCCGCAAATATGTTGGTGGTGGTGATAAATGTTGGCGGTGGGGTCTTGCATTTATAATGACATGGTGGAGATGATGGCAATGATACAGTGAAGTTAGATATGGCTGTGTTCTAGAAAAGGTTCTAAAGTTGTTAATTGTGATGGCACAGCGAAAGCAGGAGCATTGTTGGTAGTTTGGTGGCAGCCATTACGCTGCCAATATGCAGGGGCGATGTGTTAGCATCACAAGCTAATTTTGCTTGATGAAAGAAGATGGCAGTGGTATAATACTTCTGAGGCTGCAGTGGAGGTTGGAGTGTCAATTGTTTCAGACTACGAGTGAAACTGAAAATCAAATTTTCAACGCACAGCTAGATGAGTCCCAACGATTTCAAGGCACAGTTTTCACTATATTCAAGCAGAGGCACCTTAATCTATACCAGCAACTCTGCTGTCCTTGGAGTTGTCTCAGAGTCTTGAGTCCAACTTGAATAAGTTGCATGTTGGTGCCTCTTGTTGGATTGGTTTTGCCATAGACGAACTTGAAATACTCTTGCAATCGAATACATCAAAAATTTCGAACTCAACTTTCATGTGTTGCAGTGTATACTTCTTGTGGCTTTGACTTTGGACAACGAATCAACAATTTCTGGGCAGCAGGCAGGCATGCTGGTGAAGCAATTACCTTGATACAAGCGCAGGTGTTAATTTTACAGATAAAATCCTAGCTTGTTTGTTTAGATGGCAAGTAATTTAGAAGGAGATCTAAATTGTCCTGCTAAGTCATCAATATGTGCATTTGCTCTAAAATGAAAGTTTGCCTCACGGTTCCCTAGTCAACAGCAGCAGTTTCATGGTCAATCATAGTCCTAATTAATTAACTCTCAAGTGGGTATTGAAATTAATTATCAAGTAATCTTTTGCCTTGCAAAAATATTAGAATGCAGGGTTCCAATTTTTTTTGTTGAAATTCTGTGCTTTATGCATATGTGCTCATGGGAATATTTTACTAGCAAATGTTTAGGATCTAAATGAGAGTTTGTGTTCTGGATTCATGTCTCGTCTCGAGATAGAAGAGCTAATAATTCTCCCCACATCACATTTTGGGATAACCTAATTAGGTAATTAAAAATCTATTTATGGTGTAAATTTATCTTCTTCTTTTTATTCTTCTTATTTTTTTTTTCATTGAGGTTAGATTATATTCTTACAGGTACAGAACATCTTAGGGGTGTTCATGGTTCTATTCAGTTTGGTTTTAATATAAAAATTCAACCGAACCGAGAAATAGTATTCTTTATTAATATAACCCAAATCGAATTGAGAATCACCTTAAACCAAACTGGTTTTATTCTATTTGGGTTGGTTTTTTAGCATAAAAACCATAATAACTGGATTAATTTTCATCATTGAGCTAAATAAAAAAAAAATGACATCAAATATCAATTTAAACTATTAATCACAACAACCATTTAGAAATCCCAGAAAAAGCAATAACAACCAAAGGCTTCCATATAGAGATTGGGAAGGGGAAGGCTGAGAATAGAGAAAGGGGAAGGGAGGTCCCGGGAAGAACTGATTGGCCATAAATTTTCTCAGCTCTTTGGCTCTTTTGCTAGCTGTGAATGTTGTACTAACTTTAACAAAGCCTTTTCTTTTAGAGTTTGTAGAGAATCTCAAAGCTTGTCTCCGCCCAGCACAAAGATGTAACTTGTATAAGTTATACTGTATAATTATCAAAGGCATGATTTCTTGAATAATGGTTCCCTTGCATCTGGATTGTGAAACTAAAAGGGGAATACTGGGAAAGGGGAAGGGAAGGCTTGACGGGGGTGGCGACTGGGAAGGGAGAAAATGATTTAGAATTTGGGGAAGGGGAAGGGGAAGGAGCAGAGGAAGGTTGGAAAGGGAAGGGGGGTTTAGAGGTTGGAAGGGGGAAGTGATCTAGAGTTAGGAACAGTTCTTTTTATATTTTTTTTTAAAACCAGTTTGGTTTGATCCGATTTAATCAATTTAAGTTTTTTTAAACTAGAACCGAACGAGACTGGGTGGTTTTTTATTTTTTTAATAGGTTTATGTGATTTTTTTCTATCAGTTTGGTTTTTCCTATTATTTTTTTCTCAGTTTTTTCAATTTAATTGGTTGATCGTTTTTTTTTAACACTCCTATTATGAACAAATTACTGTTTGAAATTGTATATTAATTATAAAGCAAGTAACCAATCTCGAGCATTAGAATTAATTAATTAAAAAAACCCATAAAGACATGGCATTTTCCTAATAAATTTAAGATACAAGAGCCTAATTTGATATTAAAAAAAAAAATTTCATCCCTAAAAAGAAAAGAAGGAATCATGTATAAAGATTAATGAGAGGTAAGAAAAGAAAAGAAAAGAAGAATGGGTTGCTAAAGCCAAAGCAAAAGCAAACCTTATTAGGTGTCATATATTGCCTTTAGATAAAGCCTTATAAAGATGATTTTAACGATACCAAGAAAAACTATTATCAAAACTCGAAGAAAATTGCACAAGTCTCTATAATGTAGTGGGCTTCCTCGTATGTTGACATATGAGTTACATGCATAAAGATTTTTTTTTTTTTTTAATTTAATCCA